AAAAAAAAAAAAAAAAAAAAAAAAAAAAAAAAAAAAAAAAACAAGGCTGGGATTGGGGGTCTGGCTCATGGGAGGGGTCTGGGGACCCGCGGGAGGGCGGGGGCGGCTGGTTTGGGCACCTCCCACTACCCTTGCCTGTCTCCTCCAGCGTCCCTGGGGCGGGATGACCCAGGGATGGGGGGCGCCTGGGACAGTAGGTTTGATGGGGTCCTGTGGGCTTGAGTCCCGCAAGACTATTTTTTCGCGTGGGGCCGGGTCTGCTTACACATCTGGTCCCCTTGCCTGTTTTTGCGTCGCCTACTGCGTGCTTCGGCCGCACTTGCCCCCTTTGGAAGCGACAGCTAACAGCGGAGTGCTCTGGATACCAATGCAGGGTGTCCCTTGTGCGTTACTGGAATCGGGCTCCTCCACCTTTCTGAGAAGCCAGGCCTGCTGGTTTCGTGTCTCAGAGTCTCCAAAGAGGCCCTTGGAGGAAGGGATGCCTCCTGTCACCCCTTTCACCATCAACCTTGCCTCTGTCCTCCCCACCTCATCCCCACTAGCCTGAAGCTTGAGAGAAACCTTGAGGCATCTACGTGGTAGCGGCCCAAAGGTCCCTGCAGGACCCATAGTCACTGTTCCTCTTCTAAAACTGAGCCGTTGGCACGGGCAAAGATAACTACATTGGTAACTACATTGATAACTACCTGAGGAACGAGGACTTGGACCCGAGCTACCTAGCATTTTCCCCGAGTTCCATTAGTTTTCCTTGAGCCGGCAGGTATCTGGTGTCTTGTGTCATCTGGGAGGGGGGGCGGGGGGGCGCTGGTGAGAAGGTAGACTCACGGAAACTTTTCCCAGTCCCTACCTCATAGCTTTCTTCATAGGGCTTCTGGGAGCCCCGATCCACTACTTTGTTTCTGTGGGCACTGCCTGGGTAGGCAGATTTCCTGGGCCGGGTATCTCTGAGGAACAGGTGAAGTCATTGATGTCCACCCAGCTGCTGCCTTCACCACATCCTCCATCGACTGACCCTGTGTCCCTGGGGTAGAGCTAGAGATTCTGGTGGCCCTAGAAAGTCTTCGGAGGTCAGAGAGAAGCAAGCAGGTCCTTGTCAATCAACACACTCTGGTTCGGCCTGCCTCTCCCCTTTCTGTATCCCATCTTTCCCCACTCCCAGCTGCAAATGCAAGCACTGAGCAGTACACAGAAGGGCGAGTCCCGGGAGTCCGTCTCAGCCCTGCAAGCACGCGGCAATATATAGGACGGGTTCCAGGGAGTCCCTCACAGCCTTCCTCAGAGAAGCAGACTTCCTGAGCCCATCTGTGACTGCCTTCACGAATTCTGATCCACACAGACCTGAAGGCAAGGGACTTAGGAGCTGGCAGAATTACTCTGTGGGCAGTGTTTGTTGGATGAATGGGTTGGGGGAACCTGGCTGACCATTTAGACTGTATTCCACCCATGGTGACTTTCCCAAGGAGACTTGGCTTCACCTGCCAACAGATGATAGCCAGACAGACCAGTTATTGCACACTTGTATCTGGTAATGATTTGGCAGGCAATAGCTCCTTTCAACTCCTCTGGGGTCCATGAAGGGGAAGATAGGTCAGAGGGGCTCCAGTGTCCATAAACAAGGCCGGCCCCTTCCTTTGGCTGTGTGCTTGGTTGACGGGCCTTCAGGATGACTTGTCTGCCCCCTTTTGCCTTGCTCCAAGCTAGCAAAGGTGATGTCTGTTTGCTCAAGGACTTTACTTCGTGTGCTGTGAATAAGAGGCCCTCAAGAGTGTTTATTTTTGAATGTGTTAATGAGGGAATGCCTAAACAAATGGAAGGCAAAGGATAGACTCCTCCAGGAAACGAAGGGCCCTCTCCCCACCATGAACACAGTGCTTTGAAAATAAGCTTGAGAAATAAGACAAAGGCAGGGATCAGAGAAACCCTCCTGTCCCTAGAGCCTGCAACCCAGTTCCTCCACGGAGAGTGTACGCATAGGGAGGAGCACCTGACTGGAAGCAGCTCTTAAGAACCTTAATGATCAACCATCTACGTCACTTCCCTCGCCCTCAGCAGACACCAGCACTCCCCCTCTCTCAGAGGGTCCCAGGTCAGGGTTTTACTCCTAATTTTTATCTCTGCCTCCCGCCTCTGAGAGACCAAATTCTTTTACACGTGGACACTCCCAGGAAGTGGATGGAGCATCACCCAAATCTTCGGGATTGTTCTCCTTTCCCCCAAATTTCGTGTCTCTTGGAGGTAGAGAGAGATGGGTCTCCCCACAGTAGGCACCCAGAGTAGGCGGTGACTGACAGATGCAAATGTTCCACTCCCGTAGGCCGCTCTCCCTCCCTCCCTTGCCAGCTTGCCTCCCGGCCAGCTCCCTTCTTCCTTTATCTTATCAAAGCCCCGTAATTACAATTGCTATTTTGTTTCCTTGAATCTGCAATCAGAGCTCCCGCGCCTAGATGAGGGAGCGCCTGTCACCCTGATCTCTGAGTGACAGCCTGGCCACCTTTCCCGGCCGCCCCCACACTCCGCAAACACAAACACACATGCACACACTCCCTCCTGCAAACACAAACATACACTCTTTGCCAACACAAACGGCCCCCTCTGCAAACACGCGCTCGCCAGGACCCAAACGCACCCCTGGTCTGGCCACAGGCCCCTCAAATCCACACTCAAGCCTCCAGTGTTCAAATGCAAATCCCCGCTACGGCGTTTGCAGCTTCGTACCGAGCCGGAAAGCCGCCATTCTCCAGCCCCCATCCCTAGTACCAGGTTGCTGCTCTTTCAGCGTTCCCCAGACGCCATCCTATGCCTACAACCCACAAATTCTCTGAGGGCAGAGAATTGACAGCACTCCTGTTGTGTACTAAGAGTGAAGAAAAGGGGTATCCTGAAAAGGTGTGATCTGGAAGGAGGGAAAAACAATTCCCAAGTCTGTCTGCGCCGCGCCACAAGGGGCCGGGAGACTCCTGAACTAGAAGGCAAATGTGGATTGGGCTCCCACTGCGGGCAGAACCCAGCTCTTAGTCCACCGCCAGGAAACCCACCGGGAAAACAGGCAAGAAATGCAATGGGCGATCAGCGGAGTCACAGGGGGTAGCCACTGATGGGGGGGGGGGATATGAGCACGGGGTAGACGAATGAGTTTGGGAGGTTTCAGGACAGATGGCCTTGGTAAGCACGTACAAAGAGGTTGGAGGCAGCAGCCCAAAGAAGGTAGGAAAAGAAAGGAATGCCAACAACTTACTCCTCTCTTCTAGCACGAGTGCTTCGTATGAATGAAAACATATATTCATTTAAAATTTAATGACATATTCCCGCCTATTTCGTCTTAAATTTAGCGGTCGTTGGCCCTTAGGAGTTACGACCACAGCAGTTTTAAGCACGCCCACCAGAGGGCGCTAGTTCCTCTTTCCCCTCCAGTTCGAGACTCCCCGCGAATGGCTCCTAGCCAGTTGGTTGTTGGAAAGATCTGGAGGTAAGGCCCTGGGCTGGGGAGGCCCCACGACCCTGATCTCTAAACACAGAAGGGTGCTTTTTATCTTCCACTTGAGAAAGGGAGACTGAAAACTTACCCCTAGCTCATCACATAGATAAGGAAAAACTTCTAAGACTGAGAGGTACCACTTCCCTCTCCTCCTACCCCCTGGAGCCCAAGCTGGGGTCCAAGGCCCAGTTTTCTTGTTTCAGCTTCTGAATTTTTGCCCGTGCTACCACACCTGGGTCAGTTACTGCTTTCCATACTGTGGAGGACACTCTCCCTGCCCCAACCCAGTCTCTTTGTATTATGAGAGGCCCCTACTTGTTGGTCAGCTGGTGTGAATTGGCCCGATTCTCTCAGGCCCTGTTCTCTGTCCATCTTCAGCCTGTCTGGGGAAATAACCTTTTGTTTGTTTGTAGGGCACTAATGTCCCCCCACCCCCGATTAACACAGCTGAACTGCTGACCCCAGAGCTGGTTGCATACAGTCCTCACACAAGCAACCCCCTTTCTCTTCCTGGCATAGCAGTAGGCAGACCCCAGAAACACCTGATTCTAGGGAGGAGACAGTATGGCGGAGTGCTGGGGGGCAATAACCCCTCAGTCGAGGAGGCCGATTCCCATGGGCTCCTTTCTGCCCCCATATGCCAGGCCACCCGGATTCTGGTTTCCCTGTCACCCAATCTGGCCAGTTCCCTCCATCTGGCCCTGGGAATCAGGTTTCTAAGGGCCCTGCTCTACTCAACATGCCTCAGAGACCAGAAGAGCGAAGACGGGTCCCCAGCCCACCCCTCACAGAAGAGCAAAGACGGGTCCCCAGCCCACCCCTCACAGGCCCTCTCCCTGGGCTGAGCCCCTCATGGAGCTAGACTTGCACATTCCTCAGGTTTCTTAAGCCCACTTATCTGTCCCTCTCTGCCCATCAGGCTGAGTGCTGACAGAGGCCCAGACCCCTTGTTTGGAGGCTGATAACCTCCTGCGATGGCCCTCCCCCACCTGCAGGAACACGGAATAGGCTGGAATGGGAGGTCCCTCTGCAACAAGGCAGAGGGGACTTAGGCACGCTTTTGGTCCAAGGCCCTGGGGAAAAGGATGCCACATTTTCTCACTAGGACTAGACATCCACGACCACCCTTTGTACTGCCACAGTGCCATCTGGTGGTCCCTAGGGAAATCTCAGTGCTGGAAAAAGCCACACAAGAATTGCAAAAAACCAAAAGCCACTTTATTTACATCTTTATCTAAAAATGTAAAAAGTGTTAAAAATGTTCTGAACTTCTTTTTTTTTTTTTTTGCAGTGCTGGGATTCACAAAACATTCAATCTGCAGGTGGAGGGGAGAGAAGATCAGGAGAGATGTTCAAAGGTATCCCACCCCAAGAGCAAAGGGAAGCTTCAGGCAACCTGTAGGAGCAAACACAGGGCCCTATGGAGCATGCCCACTCTCTTAGCACCGGTCCAAGCCTCCCACCTGCCCCTTCCCAAACTCTCCTCTTCAACCAGAGAAAAACATTTACAATTCTTGAAACTTGTCCAGGAACATATGGTGCATGATGCCTGCAGCTCCCTAACCTGAGAAAAGCAAGTAAGCAGTCAGTATCTAAGCCCTTATCTGCTCCCCTTTACTGCCCAGATCCTGTAGGGATCCCCTCACTCTTCCTACTCACCGAAAGGGGGCTAGGACCTGCCCCCGTGCTTTTTGGCAGGAAGGATGCCGCACAGCTTAATTTCCTCCTCCTCGCTGTCCTCTTCTTCAGAAAAATCATTGTTTATACACACTGCAGGAGACACACACCACTTATTCAATACCCAGGAGTGCCAGGCTGACAGGGAACATAAGTCTAGGTGGGGAGAACCTCAGATACTAGACTCAAGAAAAAAAAAAAAAGCCCACCCACAAGGATGGAGCGGTGGCACCCGGGACAGGTTACAGGCAGTTCGTAGGCTTGAGTGGGGCGGTGAAAACCACATAATAATGGAAGCACAACCTGGGATGCAGATGCACTAGGATGAAGTAGAAGGGGGAGAGGGAGGAGGGCCTAACGAGACGGCCCACTCTTCTCACCAATCCGATGCCGACCAGTGATGCGCACGGGCCCAGAACCGGACTTCAAGCGGAAGGTTACAGGTGGCTGGAGCTGGAAATCATCCAGACTGAGCTGCAAGATGAGAATGAAGGCCTGAGCCACTCTGGTCCACCCATTTTGAGACTGATACCGAGGGTCTCGATTCCCACCGCACTACAATGAATGCAAGGCTACAACTCACCATGGGCTGGCAAGATAACCTGAGGTTGGCCACAGGAACAGCAATCTCCTGATTGTCGTGATCCCGGGCCACAACTTCCACCACATTACACTCGTCCTTGGCCCCCTCGGTAAGGCACAGCTGAAAGGGTACACAGAACCTCAAGAGTGAATCTCAGTGAGGGCTGACACCCCAAAAGGAAGACATCTTACCCAAAACCTGCCCAGTCTCGGGGGTACCCGGTGAGGAGACCCGTAAATGACTCCCAATCCAAGGGTGACGGAGGGGAGTGTGGGGGGGATGTGTAGATGCTCCCTGCATCTCCTACTACCCTCCAGTCCCTTACCATGTTCAATGCCAGCACATGTTCGGTATCATCCTCTTCCTCAACCTTGAAAGTGAAGGAGCGGGTTTGGCCGGAGAGCTCACAGCCTGCAAGAGCCAGTGCGTTCGTTTGCCTGAGGGGTCCACGCGTGGAGGTGACAGCGCTCGAGAGCGTTGCATTAACCAGGCTGAACCCTCCCATTCGGCCATGTGCCGCCGCGGACTGACCGGCCATTTATTCGCCTAAATCTCTTAAAACACCTGGGCGGGCAGGCGTCCTCCTTGGGCCGTACAGGCCGCGGAGTAACCGTTAGGGTTAGGGTTAGGGTTAGGGAAAGCGAAGAACCCTCGGCCCACACCCACGTCGCCCAACCGCCATCCTCAGTCCAACGTCTCACTCGCCCCGTACCACCCTCTGCCACTTCTGTCTTCAATACCGAAAAAGAAACTGTCCATCGTGACTGGAGCCGGGACTCTCAGGCCTCCCAAACCCCCAGCTCGGGCTCGGCTCTCTTGACTGAAGAACGCTAAAGCAGCTGCAGCACCGGCGGCCATGCTGAAACTGCCGTGAGAAGCCCCGCCCCCCCACGCACCGAACGCGACACCTCAGCCAGTTCCGGTCCCGCCCATTAAAGAAGCCGCGCGCAGAGAAGCACGTGAATCGTGAACCGCCGCAGAGGCGAAGGCAACCCTCACTTCTTCTGCAAGGACAGGTAGCAGGCCTTAGAAGAAATTTTCACGGAATGCGGGATTAATGTCAGCGTCCACTCATTCCCACGGTCCCGAGAACTCTGCTTTTCTCTAGCTCATCGCATTCATCGAGACCCTTTCTTCCAACTTGGGGTTATGCAGGGATGGTAGTGTAAACCTTTCGTACTTCTTCCAGAAAAGTTGGGATGCAGAGCAGCCATTTTTATTTTACTCAGGAATTCTCACCCACACCTTTGCCATATTAGCTACCCCTTAGATAAACTTCCTGATCCTGAAGGAAGCTAGACCGAAAAGGAGCCACGCCCAGATGTGGGCGTCAACTGCTGCTCCAATCAAAGCCGCACTTCCCATCAGCCTAGGCACATCCTGCTTTGAATTCTCCACTTCTTTAACAGGCTACCCACCTCCCACACCAGTACCCCCCCACCATTCAAGGAGACCAACCCATGCACTCCCTCATCTATCGACAAACTCAGAAGAGACCCCTCTACTTCGAAGATTTTTTTAGTAAGAAGGCAACTTACTTAAAAATGAACGTGCTTTTCTGAGAAAAACTGGAAGTTCTTTGCTAGTGAAGGCAGGAGGGGAGCACTGTCTTCAAAGTCCAGTCTACAGTGTAATAGCTTTGGAGAGGAGGAACACTTGCCTCTGCTGAGGCGTGGAGGACAGAAAGACGGGAGGGCAGAGAACAGGCAGCACACCATCACACGAATCCACTTCAAGTTTTATTTTGCCTCTTGCATGGTCTTCAAATAGTTTTACAGTCTGTTTTCTACAGAAATTGAGCTGTCATCCAGACAATCAACGAAATGGTGTTCCAACCTTAGTAACCATGAAGGTGGCACAGTACTTAATCCTAGAGCAATGGTATAGACCTGGACACGTCTGTTATCTTCAGATCATCCAAAGCGGTTATTGAAAACCAACATAAAACAAAAAGCAACTTGTTTAAAATTCCTGATTCCATATGAAATTGACTCTGAAATCTTCTAAATAAAAGGTAATTCCCACTAGGGGATGGGGTGTATTCAGATAAAGGTGAGGAGCATTAAACTTACTATCTAATAACAATTTTGCCCTTCACCTTAGCCTTCAAAACCAAACTTGATTTCAGTTTTTCAACATATCCTATCAGAGGTTTTTGCCGTAAGAGGCTTCTTAGCAAGCACTCTCTCCTGGGCTTCAGCTGGAACTCACTAGCTACACCAGATATAGTGCTAAATTGAAGACTATCTCAAAAGCTCACACTGGAGTTCTATAAAAGAAAATGTTTCAAGTTTCCTTTTTTTCTCTCTCCCCTCTCAGCTCAGAGCTCAAAAGCTGATGAAAAACTAGAGGGAAGATAACAAAATACTGTTGAAATCTATGGAGAAGTTACTAGCTAACCATGATTATAAAAAAACAAACAAACAAACAAAAAACCCTGCAGAGACTATCTGCCAGCTTCATGCTCAAAACCCTTAAGTTCACCAAATCTAAATTAAAATACATGAAGTTTTCAGAACCTCTGATTAAAAGAAAGAGTATACTTATGGTTAACATATACTTAGTCTTTCTTTTAAAAATTAGATACAAACATGCGAGAATTAAAGACTGATTCAATTAAACCAGTAGTTAATAGATCTTGAGAAGAAATGACAGCTGTTCTAAGGGCAAAGGAGACCACTAGTCAGTCCCTTTTTTACCCTTACTTGACAATGTCAGAACATTTCACATGCGGATCTGCTAGGAAGGTTCATTTCCAGAAATAACTGCACTTCCCAATAGATTTGAGTCCTATGAAGTTAGACACTCATACTCCAAATGGTCATGGCCTCTGTGGGAGGCACTTTAAAAACAAATGCAAAGGAAATCTACCATCCATGGTTTACATTATTCAAAGTGCCATTCTAAACCAACACCTCTCAAAGGAAAAAAATATATAAAAACAGTAAAGAAAAAGAAGTCAGGTTACAGCTAGTCTATATACAAAGAAATTTACAAGTTTGTCAATTTGGCCTTTGCCACAAACAAATGCACATTTGTCCCTACAAAGCACAACTGCCTGAACCAACATTACAGCCAGAGCTTTACAAATAGCAGAAAAATTGCCCCAAATTGGAACCCACTAAATCCTTCTCATTCCTGCCATGTCTCCAAAGAACAGAGACATTTCATTCAGCACACCAAGGAGAATAGAGTGATTTTCATTACTCTTAGGTGAGAAATGCAACCACACTAGATGCAAAAAATAGTGCTGATTACATTTATTTAAGAACCTCTCCCGATAGAAGCCCACAAGAGGTCCTGCCCCTGACCCCTGACCCCCAGGAGGGCACCGCAACTGTTCACACAGGACATGCAGCAGTACTATCTTCTTCGGGTCAGCGGGCAGGCTGAGAAGGTGATGGTGAGCTCTAGTCATCGCGTTTCCAATCCGCTCCAGAGACTGAACTGTGTGAAGACCTCAACACCAACCACAAGGTGGGGCTAAGAGACTTTGGACAGTTCACAATGCCAACAATGTCACAGGCTCCGACCAAGTATAACCACATCCTTTGGAAATCCTTCCATCTTTGCAATTTCAAAACAGCCTAACTTGCTGTAGAATTCCAGAATCCTTTTATCATCTGGTCTTACTTCACAGAAAGCCCCCCGGGATCCTAAAAATTAAACAAAATATTTTAAATGTAAGTAAATATATGATACAAGCATGAATAATAATGTTTAATACAGATAACAGCTTTATCCCTAAACTTCTGAATTCTACAGAGATCCAATTGCCTCTGCCTTCCAAGTACTGGGATTTAAGATGTGTGCCCACCATTTTCCAGCTTAAATTCTTTTGTTTGTTTTTGAGATAGGGTCTCATTGTATAGCCCTGGCTGGCCTACAACTCACTACTAGAACAGACTCATTCTGAATTCGAGAGATCTACCTCTCCTGTGCTGGTATTAAAAGCAAGCATGTGGCACTACAACTGACTTTAGTCAACAGTGAATGAGTAAAATTCTTTGAGAGAAATGGATATTGAAAGTAAAGGTAAGTTCTGTTCAAAGCATCCAACACCTTTGAAGAAATGAGGCAGAACCTACCCTAACCTGTCACAAGCCAATGTATCCAGAATGTGAACACTGTTTTAAAAAATTATTTATCCTCTGGTCTATGTTTAGGGGCAGGGATTACATGTGGAAGACAATCAGAAGACAATTTGCATGAGTGGGCGCTCTCCACCATATGGGTCATTCAGGTCATTAGGACTGGCAGCAATTGCCTTTCCTCAGCAGGCTCACACATATTCTTCAAACATATTTAATGTCTGGGATTTTTCGTACACACTGAGAATTACCTTCTAAAGTTAAATAATTCTGCAAAGTGGATGCAACTAGTTCAAATAATATATAAATGCAACAATGAAAAAACTGAGTTTTTTATTTTCCTTTCTACAGGTCTCACTATGCAGTCATGGCTAGCCTAGAACTCAACTATGTAGACCAGGATAGCCTCAAACTCAAGCGATCCACCTGCTTCTGCCTCCTGAGTGCTGGGATTAAAGGTGTGTACCTCCATGAGTGGTTTACAAGGTAGACTGTTTATTATCAGCAGCTGTGAGGCTGAGGCAGGAGGATCACAAGTTCAAGGACTACCTAGGCTACCATATGAGTTCAGGCAGGTTTCATTTTTAAATTTTAAAAGGCCACTTAAAAACATGTGTCATTTCTCATTGATGCTCAAGATTAGTATTCATGCTATAAAACGACAAAGTGTTCTCCAACAGTCAATGAATACTACTTAACTTCTACACCAGCAATAACTCAGAACAAGAAGTCAGCCAGACACAGCAGGTGCAGACCAGTAACTGTAGAGGACAAGGCAGGAAGACAGCTTGAGCCCAAGAATTGAGGGCAAGCTGGACAATGTAAGACCACACACCACCCTCAAACCACACATAAACACAAATAAGGGGGGTAACATAACTGAAAAAAAATTATTGTGAGCCGGGCGGTGGTGGCGCACACCTTTAATCCCAGCACTCAGGAGGCAGAAGCAGGTGGATCTCTGTGAGTTCAAGGCCAGCCTGGTCTACAAGAGCTAGGTCCAGGACAGGCACCAAAAACTACAGAGAAACCCTGTCTCCAAAGAAAAAAAAATTATTGTGTCTATGTGCCACAGCGGACATGTGGAGGCCAGAAGACAGCTTTGTGGAGCTGGCTCTCCTACTTTTACAAGGATTCTGGAGACTGAACTCAGGCCAGCAGGCTTTTTAAGACTATGGCATGGATATGGAAATCAGGGAACAACTTTGTGATGTGCCAGTTCTCTCCTTCCACCTTATGTGAGTCCCAGGAACCAGAGTCGGGGTACTAGGCTGGTGGTTGTGAGCAGCAGGGGCCTTCACCCAATGGGCCCTCTCCCACCCATCTTGTGTCACTGTCACCCTGGCCCCGGCCCCGGCTTTTTTGGAGATGGTTTCACTATGCAGCCCAGGCTGGCCTGGAACTTGTAGCAATCCTAGTACCTTAGCTTCTTGAGTGCTGGGACTGTCAGAGTAACCAGACTCAGTTTTCTTTTAGTATGAGTAATCTCAGCACTCAGGAAGCTGAAACAGAAGACTGCACAGGGCTCTAGAACAGGCTGAGAGACAAAAGGGGCAAAACTAAATGAAATACTTTAAAAACTATAGGACTGGTAAGATGGCTCAGTGAGTAAAGAGACCAGTTACCAAGCCTGCCAGCCTGAGTTTATCCCCAGGACCACATGAAAAAGGAGAAAATCAATTCCTACAAGTTTCCCTCTGGCTTCTGTTCGTATACCCACAAACTAAGTAAAAATAATTTTTTTTAAAAAAAAGTCTCACTCAAATAATACAACCCCACAACTTGTACTCACCATT